TGCGATAATGGGCGATGGTGCGCGTGGTGTACGTCCTACGGCTGGAGGCATCCGCAGCAGGGCTATGCGTGCCAGGCGATTGCGTGGGCCTCGTGGGAGCTTGGTAGAGTGGAGGGGTGCGTATGGAGGGCGAGCTATTGTGCGATCAGCGCGATGGTGAGGCTGTATGCGTGCGCACATGGAACTTCGAGGATGCGATGGTGTTGTCCTTGTGTCATTACTTGGTTCCAAGAAGTTGTTGCAAAATATGATCTTATCATATACTTCTTTTTGAAGAGGATTCGTCCTCGAATCAAATTGGTGACCTGCACATAAAGAAACCAAGTTAGTATCTTCAAAATCAAGATTTAGATTATACTTACCATGTAGAGCACTCTTGAAATCCTGAGATGAAGAAACTCTTTGAAGGCTTTTATGGATTGGTATTAGGAAAGTTATTCGCTCCTTCCAAAAGTGCGTCCAAACCCATTCACTTGGTTTGTTGACTTTGTGCTTCGGTTTCCTTCTCCTCCATATGGTGTTTGTTACTCGAACACTACAACTCAACAACTTCAGTTATCGGTCATAGCATGGTTTATAGGACCTTTTGAACAAGTACATTTTCATGATTCTTGGCCATATCTTTATTCGATCATGATCGCCTAAAAAAAAACGAATCAAGTTAGTATCATTGAAATTTAAATTTATCTAATACGTATCTTGGAAAGTGTTCTCAAAATCATGCGAAGCCAGTGGGGTGCGTCTTTCTTGCTCCATCTTGTAATGACTCTCCATAGCTTTCAACTCTTCTTTTGTTCGACCATGATTGAGATTAAGAATTGAAAGTTCTTGCAAAAATCTCAAAACAATACAAGTTCTAGGATAAAACATAATAGTTTGAAAGTAAGGATCCTTATCCAATCTTGTCCAAATCGATTTATTTTTTACAAGTAATCCTAATATTGTTTAGTCTTTAATTTAATTTTTTTTTATTTTGACCACTTTGGACAGCCCAAAAGAAGGAGGACAGCCGCCTAGTCCACTGGGCCACCCGAGAGAGCCTTTTATGGGCAGCCCGAGACTTATGTGAGAGAACAGCCCATTCAAACAATTTCCAAACATTTTGGCAATCCACATACGTTCAGTAAACTCGTTGTATTTCACTTTKCCATTAGTTTGAGCACAATCTAAGCCGTACACAACATGCACCCCTCACCTAAAGTCACCCCTCTTGTCGCAAAGGTTACTGTTTTGTTGGTAAGAAGTCTTTTTGTGTGTGTTTGCACTACGAGTACGATTTTGTACATCTGGTATCATCTATACCAGTGACCCTTAGTAAAAAAAACTAAAAAAAAAACAAAAAAACAGAAAGAACTTTTGCATAAGTTGCTTGTAGGCTTGTGCTTGCTTGTTCAAAGGTCGAGTCGCCATGAGCAATAAAGTGAGTATCTACAAGAGGGTATCCACACCAACATCCACCCTACAAAAAAGTGAGAAACTGATAGGTCAAGTAAGGGAGCGAGAGATAATTTTATTTATCATACTAACCTTTACTTGTGTAGTGATGGCGACAAAGGAAAGTCTCATGATTCTCAAGAAGAGAGAGGCAAGGCCAACGTCAGTGATGAAAGGCTTAAGGAAGCTCAAATCCAAGCCTTTTGCAAGGTTCACACAACGACTTGAAAATCTTACTGAATCCTTACAAATAATGAACACACGTATTCAAGGATTGGAAAGGCCACAAAGAGTGCCACACCGAAGAAGACCAGTGAGTCCAATAGAGACATCCGACGGTTCCCAAGAATAACAGGTAGGTACTTTAAATGAATATTTTGCTAACGAAGATCATTTTGATGTAGGTCCTCCAATAATAGCACACATTGGCCAAGGGAGAGGAAGATTACCTAACCGAGAGAGGCAAAGAAGTGAGAACTAACTTAGGAGCATAAAGGTGAAAATCCCAACCTTCCATGTAAAATCTACACCCGAAGAGTTGGATTCATGGGAGATGGAAATTGAGTTAGTGTTTGAATGTCATAATTCTGATGATGGCAAGAAGGTAATTCTCGAAATCAATCATTTTAAAGATTACACACTAACTTGGTTGAATAATGTGATATCTCATAGAACGAGAAACAACGAAGGTGTAACGCCCCAGAACATTTTACACTATTCTAGGTAACGTTAATTAAACCCCCTGTCAAATATTATCTCTAAACCCGAGATAAACAACTCCCTGTGAAATATTTATATAAAATAAATGAAGAACCCATCCCGAGTCATGGCAAACAATAGGTGGGAAACTCCCAACAATCAAACAGAACAAGTGGTTTATTGTCAAAACAATAATGTATAAACCATCTAAACCTATGTTAAGCGAAAATAACTACGCAGCCTATGGTCCTCTCTTGTCATGCCTCCTCCACGTCATCGCCATGGTCGTCACCAAAATCTCCGCCTGAAAACAATAATTGCAGAGGGGGGTGAGTATATAAAAATATACTCCGTAAGTAGCCCTCACCAACCACACACAAACATCATACTCAAAAATCATAAAAGAAAACATTCATGGTCATGCTCTTCATTACATTATACAAACAACCATAGACATGCTCTATAAGACTCGATGCTAACCACAACCATATACAATCAACTACCGTCCACGTGGCATCTCTAACATCTCAACACCTCTATGCTTAGCTTTCCAAGGCTACTTTGTTGGTAGTGTCGGCCCCTGACCATTTTTACCCAGAGCCCCGACACAACTACATCAACCTCGGCCACTTATCCTCAAGCCTCGCTGTCTTTACAATCTGTTGGCCCTTGACCATTTTTACCCAAGGCCCCAATAGTTTCCTTGCAAAAGACTCCTCGCATCGACCCTCGACCATTTATATCCGAGGCCTCGATGTCTTTACAATCTATTGGCCCTTGACCATTTTTACCCAAGGCCCCAATAGTTTTCCTTTCGAAAGACTCCTCGCATCGACCCTCGACCATTTATACCCGAGGCCTCGACGCTCATCTTTATCCAATATTGGCGTATCGACCCTCGACCATTTATACCCGAGACCTCGATACCCAATTAGTGACGTATCAGCCCCCGACCATTTATACCCGAGGCCCTGACACTCACCCATTCTTCTTCCATAACTTCCAAAACTTCACATATCATTTCTAGCCTCCAACCAAGATTCTAGTACCAGCTCCCTGATAAAACTAATCACCACAACGTCCATCCACAACACATCATCTAGTATGATTTCAATGCATCACGAATCTCGATAACGCATAATTTGACAACAACCAACCTGCTCACAACATAGAGAACACAAAAGCTTCAACAAATAACCTTATGGCATGCTTCACATAACATACTTTTCACAACATAACAAATCTTAATCACTTCCAACCATACAATATCAACAAATTCCTATGCAGACAACAATCATGGATACAAGTCATATACATATCCAATAAATAAACACAGCAAGCTACAATAACAGTATCGACCTCACAACCATGTCCAACAATTAAAATAGTAAGAGAAATACACTTATAATGAAAATCAGCAGGAACAATTTCTATTAGCACACATCAACGCACACACTCGCCTCTGTACTACTTACTTTTCATTACTCGATAGGCCACCAATTCCAATCATGGCCCTCTGTTAAGATTCAATCACATCATTCCCAAGTCACCCACAATATCGAGTACGAACATCCAAATGACTAGTTACGTTATCACTATAGACAAAACATACGATAACAAACCATTACTACCAGTCCGTTCCATCTATTCAGCCACCCCAACCAATCTTTCAAATGCATCGACAAGCCAGCCACACATCTAATCAACACACAATTATCAAACATGCTCTTCATCGTACAAAACAAAGAAAATAATCCAGTAGCTTCCAACTAAGCAAACATAAACTAAATAACATAAAACTATCACGTGCATTTTCAATCCCAAGACATGCTTCCAAACATCAAAGCTTAATCACTTCCAACCATACCGAGCAGCAACTTTCAAGGCACATCCAATTATCATGATATAAAATATTTTCCTAATATATAAAAGGAAAAGAACAAAAAGAAACAACAAGAATGCAACCCAACGATAACAACTAGAAGTCCTCAAATGATGCCCAACAAATTCTAAATACACGAGATATTCAAGTATAGCAAAGTTAAGCACGTAACCATCTCAATAACACCTATTAACACACACACCCGCCCCTTGGTGCTACTTACTCAAAGTTCTAATGCGCCACTAAGCTCGCCAAAAGGGTTCCTAAATCCAAAAACAACCAAACTTGGGTTAGTGTTACTTTTAGAAACACTTAATTTGCGACCAAACTAAGTTTGAGTGATTCGTTACCTACAAACCCACACCGAATCACTTGGTTTAGGAGTAGGTCACTTCCAAACAGGTTCCACACCACAGAAACGACGCCRAATCGGTTCAGGCTTGCTAGTCCAACGCCAGGTTGGGGTGGGTAACACTAGTTTGGGTCCTGCTAGGGGTGGGTCGACACCGAACGTCATCGGAACGAATG